CATGGGTGGATAATAATACGACAGCATAGTGAAGGAACAGATGTCTGATGTATTACTCTTCCTACTACTACTGTAGTAGCTAGTTATTCTTTGTTACTGGTATGGTAGAATAAAATAAATACTATTGCTTACATAAGTAAGTGTATTTTCATACACATCTCATCTGAAAAAGGTTGACTTCAATTTAGATACCTTTGTTCATGCAAGCTAGTGTTAGGCAAGAAAGCTTGATATCTTAGGTTAGGAATCTTTTATAGAGCTAAAATAGTGTGCTACCGATCTTCATTATGAAATGGAGTACACGCAAAAAAAAAACAACTGTGAGTTTGTATTTTTCGTTGTTCTGGGAAAATCTACGATGTAGTGTATTCTAATATAAATGTTGTTACTTTTCGTGGAAATGTGAACTTCATATCTCAGCAAGTAAGCCGCAGAAACCCAAACCTTTTTAGAGTGTTTCTAGTCTCACTGAAACCTACATATGGACAAAATATCACGTGTAAAGCGGAAATTCACCTGTAGGAGTTCCCTTATTAATCTGCGAAAATCAATCCTTTTAAAGTATATTAATTAATGAACTTGCGCCCTTGAAAAAAGCTCATTAGTATAGTTTCACGAAACATATAATATGAAGTCCATATAACTCTTGGAATTTTTAATATTTACAACTCTTATTTTAATCTCTCATGCTCCATATACATTAATATTAAGAATGAAGAAAGAACTCTTTCAAAATTTTTCATCCAACAAATCACAACAACTGATGCTGAATAAAATCTATGACTTTTTTCTTGATCTTCTCCGGTAAAGATATGATTTCTTTACAAAATTTGATAAATTTGATCTATTTTTATTTGAAATCATCACTCAATACAATTGAAAAGCTTCTCAATTCATAAAAGAATACTAATAACCACAGGAACATAAAACAATCTAGAAAGTATGGTTTCATACCACAGTTCATATATTTAGGTTTAGAAATACTTAGATATTTTCACAGGTATATGTTATTAATGGACGACATAACTTTCTCAATAGAACGAAATCTTTTTTGAATATTTCTATGTCGAAAGTATGAACTAGAAACTACTAGCCGTTAAGAGTTTATGGCAATCGATTAAAATCATTGCAGAAAAGTTAGCTCGAAATTTAGAAATGATAAATCATTACTTTAAATAGAATTTAACTTATAATGATTGATCAAATTTTCCTAGCCATAATAAGTTAATTAAGCATATTCCAAATTTCTCATTGTGCAATGAGAAAACGTGAGATCAATCTTTAGATCTAGAATTTTCATGATGATTACCACTTCGTAAGATGCAGAACTTCATATTCATATTTCTAAATCATGAAAACCATGGCAATTGATAAACACGAGCAACATCGACTAGCTTCAGTGTCTTAAAAAATTGATAAAACAACTAGGTGAAAACCAATCTGTTTTAAAAGTTCAACTGAACTGAACTGGCAAACTAATCAGTTCAGATTCAACTCTGAATTATTTTTAAGAGTTAAATATTCTTTTGTTAATTTTTTATAGTTATAGAGTATTATTATTCGCACTACTATTGAATACTTCAACGATTGAGTGAAATATGAACAATGAAATATAATAGATTCAATAAGAAAATATAAAACAAATAAAAGATTGGTTTCCTTATACTGTCTCAGATTATTTTACAACATTACTATTTTAAAAAAATTTGGTTAAATTTTAACAACACTTCTTTATATATTTAAGTCCTATTACGTTTTTTAAATAAAATGTATTTTCGCTACTTCATTTATTTATTCCATTGGTAATGTAGCAGCCAACGTGTTGATTTGAAACAAAGCAGTAGAGTATATTATTTATAACTTCATGATCTAATATATTATTCCAATGTAACCGTTGTATGACATTTCATTATCCTGAAAGCAGTATTCATTGTAGACATCTATATGATAATCAACAATCTTATCCGATTCAATGTTTATTTAAAAGTGATCCATTCTATCCGGTAAAAATCAAATAATCATTTCACTGATTGTTATTTTCTTTAACTGCAAATAAATGTAATATAAATTTTATTTATCAAGGTTTTTAAACGAGAGAGAGAGAGTATTATTGGCCATATTATTTCAGATATTTGTCTATTGAGATAAATTGAAAAAAAAATGTTTTATATTGTTAAACGTCTTTTTCTTTTAACTATATTGTTATTATTTCGTTTCGTGATATTTATAATACTGTCTAGAATCTATCAAATACCATATTATTATGGGTAAATTATGAGCTAGGCTTTCCCTAATCAGAATAAACTGAATATTCTTTATTTTTTTTTTGCATTCATTATTCATACAACGGAAACTAACTTCCGTTGTATGAATAATAAATGCAAACAAAAGGAGTGTTCCGTTTATTTTGATTAGGGGGATATATTCGTGTTGCCGTCGGGATCTTCACAATATTGTATTAGTTTGATTTTTTTGCTTATGTATGAAGCATTTTTCTTTTCTAATAGTCTATTTTTGCAACCAGAATCGTTTATTGTACGAAGAAAAGGAAACAAAAGTTTTCAACACATTTTGTCTTTGTTATTTTTAGATCCATATTTGCGTCATGTTTAAAAATAAGTTATGATAATTATTATAAAGTAGAGATTTTTTTTAATGCATGTTACATTGTCTTTCTTCGTTTTTCTGATTTATTTTCTCTTTAAAAATCCTTCTGTGTTTTCCTAAATACAGGAACACAATTAACTCATTGTTTTGTCGATAATTTTTCCTACATTTTCACCGTATGTGATCAATTATAGTTTATTATTCAAAATTTTGATAGATTTATTCAAAAACTTTGTATAAACACAGTTTATATTTATATTGACAATATGTTAATAAGATTCATATGAAAAATTTCTTATATTAGAGCATACTTTTAGGAAATAATTAGACTTATTAGTGAATAATCAAATAAAAAGATATGATTTCTTATAGAAATTATTCATATGACATTGAGTTCTAATCTACGAAAATATGAAAAAGATATTTTCTTAAATAAAAATGTAACACTCGGTTTTGTGTTTCATAAAAGAATGTAAAAAAAGAATGTCAATAGTAATTCGATCGTGTTTTTTATTATCTAATCAAATTAAGTAGAAAAGTGTCAAATGATTTTAATGAAATTTTGTTTAGTATTAACAGATGTCATGTCGACTTTTTAAGTCAAACATGAATACATTTCATAAAGTTTAGCCGGTATTATGTAATTAAACAATAGATCAATAGTATGAAAAAAAACATGTTACTTAAGCATTAGTGCTAAAGCAACTTGTAGGATGTATATTACTGATCGAAGCAATTATAGCTCTTTTATTTTATATGAATATATAAAAAATACAATTTTGTACAGAAATTGATCAGAAAAGAAAAATAAAGTTTAACTAATTGAAAATAATACAAGGACATACGTTTCATGTTTTATTAATATAGGTGATAGACACTTTTCTTTTGAATTAATCATTATAATATTTTCTTCAAATAACACAAAAGCAATGCTTATGCTTTGCGAACATGTATTTTAAATTCGTATATTTTGATATAAAATTATTGTTTCTTTTTCTATTGGAAAATATTTTTTTTAAATAACTGTTTTTCTGTAATGAATAAATTTATTCAGCTTCTTTTGATTTTTAAATATACAATATAAGATAATCTTATTATGATTTTCTTAATAATACTTAACTTGCCAGCATATAGATGATGCATGTTATTGTGACAAAAATGAATTTGTCTGTGGGGATTAACGTCTAGAATTATTCTAATAGATGTCAGCGTAGGCGTTCTGACTCAATTGCTTCTCAATATTATTAAAAGAAAAACATCATCACGAAACTACAGTGAGAATAAAAAGTAGAGCATATTTGTATTTTTGAGATATTTTCGTTAACAGTGATCGCTAGAATAATTGGAAATAAAGCTTTGAAGAATTGAAAGGCTTATATATTGGGGAAAATGTTTCTTCAGATTTCATTGAAATTTTTATGAAATATATTCTCTTCAAAACCAACAATCTCTACAATCAATGTATTAAATTCGATCAAAAATGTTTTGAAAGTTAATTCAACTAATACAAAAAAAAACGATTTCTAAGTAAAATGAAACATTCTCGAATACTCCATGATCTTTCTCTATTAAACTGTATTTAATTTATGAAAAGCTCTCGAAGGCATTTTTATTTAATTTTTCTACGCTTTGTAGTACAAGACTATTCTTAAATTAAGTGCAATTTAATAAATAGAAAAAGATCATGGAGTACTCAAAAATGTTTCATCTTACTTAAAAATCTTTGTACTATCAGCTAACATAATGTTTGAAAGTTTTGCCCATCGAATTCAAGACACTAGTTTTATGGAATTTTGGTTTGTATAAAAATATTGTCCAGTAAAAATTTCAATGGAATTCGAAGAAACACATCTCTTAACAGAAAATCCTTTTATATACTCAAATCGTTATTCGAAATCGTTCTAATGAGTCACCGTTAAGAAAATATCTAATAAATACAATTATACCCGAGTTTCTGGTCGTACTTTTTCGAAATTAAACATTTCCAAATGATTTCTAATTATTTCAAGTTCAAAGAAAAACATAACACAACGGGTATATACCAGAAGATGTAGAGCATATTTCTACAAACGTCTTAATTTAATGGAATAAATCGAGCCCTTAAGTCCATTATATTATTAGTTTATAGCATCTTCAAAGTGAATAAATTAGAATGGTATTTATTTATTATAGAAAAAACAAGTTTTTTGTCGACACAAATTAACAAAACGACATCAATCTGCTCATCATATTGTAAAATAAATTCTTATTTTTCTTTTCTCTTTATTAATAAAGAAAAAACTAAGAATCATTTAATTTTTCTCTCAAGTCTAAAGAATTCATTAATTAAAATTTACACAAATAATGTGAAATAGTAGAAATCCAACTAATAACTTAACATTATGTTCATTGTTTTAATCTTTAAATGGATAATAATTTAGATTTTTAGTTACACCATTTGTTGGACGACGCTTTATTGTTGATTCTTGTAACTGTAGATGATATTTTGGATGAGATTTATGACTTCCTCGACGTTCTCCATCGTTCTTATTATATAATTCTTTCCATTGACATTGGAGTATATACATAAGTTCACTACGAAATATTTTTCCACTGGCACAATATAATAAGAAATTTATACAAAAGTTAGTTAACATAAATAATTCTGTTAGTTCTTTTATCGATTTTAATGCTACATTACGAAATCCATGAACATAATTAGCGACCCATACAGCACAATATGGAGAATTTAATAATAAAAATGAACACGATACGAGTAAAAGTGTTACTGTAACACGATTCGCTCGAGATTGTATATAATTTTTAACATAAGTTGGTGATTGTTTCATATGTGCTGTATATTTAAATGTTGAATTTGAAATTGAATTAGACTTTCTCTGATTTCTGGCTTTATCAGGCCAACAACTACTATTAACCTATTCAAAAAAAAAAAGAAAACAGTAATAGTTAAAATATCATCTCCTGTCGGAAATAGTTTACATCCTAGGATCTGACATGTTTCATCTGGTTTTTTTTTTGGTCTTTTTTATAGACAAACTATTTTGCAAAAGACTAGACTAGGTTGATATCTTGTTTATACATTAATCATTGCATAACTTAAATTATCAAATGAGATACATCTTCTAAATGTTTCTTATGGGTAATTATGGAATCGTTATATATATATATAAACATATATATGATTAAAATAACATTACCATTTGATATATGTACAAAACACGCAATTCATGTTGACCTTTACTTTCCACTTACACAATATACAAGATTTCAAAGCAAAAAGATATTGTTCTATATCGCTCTAATCTTATTTTGATATTCAGAACAAATTTGTAATCAAATATCGTTTTTGTATCCATTATACTTGAAAACAAAAAGTACTATCTGCATAGCTAACATTAAATGTGAAAATGTGTTAATGACACCTTTTTCTTAGAGTATGTTAATTCTAACACTTCAAAAATATTCACCTGTGTTGTATTTGCGTCAGAAGTTACCAATGATCCAATTGATTGACATTTAATTAACGAAGATGTTCGTAGTGTTTGACAGTGTTCTACATGGGTTATAGCATTTGATGCAGACTTTGATAGATGTGAACGTGAGAACGTATCAAATAAACTATCTAAGTGACGAGAATTTTTTATTTTCTGCCTAATTAATCACAAAAGAAAAAGAAAAGGTTTTATTAAAACAAAAAGGAAATATATTAAAAACAAAAGGTCTTATACTTTTTTTCAAATGCTTCACGATCTTCATCTTTCTCTGTTAATAAACTTTTTCTCCAAAGTTTAGAACAAATAAGCATATTAACTAAACCAATTATACACATAGGTAATATATAAACTGTAATCATTGTACTTATAGCAAATCTCATATAAATTGAACGATATTTTGGTAAAATATCACAGATTGTTTCTTCTATTCCAAAATTACTTGGTAAATTAATTATTCCATAATGAAATGGAACATTTATATTGATTAAAAGACTCATAATAAATAGAGAAAAAACAACAAAACGTGCTATTTTACGTCGACATATAATACCTCGTTTTAATGGATAATATACAACAAGAAGGCGTTCAATTGTAAATGAAACAACTATCCATGACGATAATAAACGTGTTGTATTTCTTGCATATTGAACAAAAATACAAATAATAGATGAACTATGATCAAGAATATTTATACGTGATTGATATAATTCATTATGATTACGAAATGTATCTTCAATTAGATTTATAAAAAGAAAACAAAGATCAGATATGGCAAGGGATAGAAGATAAAAATGTGATGATTGTCGACGATATCGAGGAGATAAAAATATTAATATAGAAAGAATATTGCCAATAATTCCTAGAGATGTCAATACAAATGGTCCATATATTGACATATATTGTTCAAAAGCGACTAATGTCGATATAGCAGTGATATTATTGGATTGATTTGACATTTTTTTAAAATCTCAAATAGAAAATACCAGATTATATTATACAATAAACAGATCATTTATAATCGAGTAGAAAGCCAAAATGACACATGTCATAGTATAAGATGTAAGCATCATTCTACAAAGAATAAATACCTCTTTTGTCAGCCGATTTATTATAGCACGCATTTTTTTCTCAAGATCAAGAAAAGGAAATGATGGTCCAGTGATTTTTACAACGATTCTTTTTTTTTCTTTCTTTTCTTTATCTTTTTTTTCTCTTTGACGTCTCTTCAAGAAATACTACAGATCATAAGTAAGATCAGAGGCGTTCGCCCACACATATGAGTTTTTCTTATTCAAAAAAAAAAAAAAAAAAGAATTGATACAACGAAAAAGAAAAGAAAAACATAAGACACATCAAACCTCAATTTAATAATAAAATTTAATTTATCGAATGAGCACTTACTCATTAGTTGTAAAACAATTTTTAAAATCAGCTTAAACAAAGACGCTTTGTAAAAAGTCATTTACTTGAATGAAATAGGAATAAATAAAGTGAAGACAACAGAATAATCAGGCAATTTATTTGAGCTTAATTAGCAAAAAACTATTTAGCTATTGCATTTATATAAAACTTAATGAGTAGATGGAATAAAATAGAATATTTTATTTTAGATCATATTTCAATGCATCAATTATTCATGTAACATATGTTCGTCTACTGATAACAATATTTTTTATATTAGGAAAAACTACGCAAATAATTTTTTTTTCTATGTTTTTGTGTGTTGACAAAAATACCACACTTCATTTCTAAGAAGTTCAGATAGTAGATTCGAAATACGTAAAAATTCATCTATAATGATACATGAAATAGCGGAAAAAACAAATATTTTATTCAATTTGAATGATACTGTCAGTAAGTATTTTTCCGTCAAAATATTTAATCGCTGATGTGTCTTCATATATTTCTAATAGCAATGATTTATGAGAACTGTATCACTTACTTACCTACTTACTTACTGAAATATAGAGTTGAATAAAATAAGAAAACTAATTTAAAAAAACAGAAAATAGTAGAAAAGTTATATTAGCTCAATATGGTATCAATGTTGTTTCTTATTGTAATATAAATGGTATTGAAACTTACAAAATCTAATGAGACAAATCCTTAGAAAATTACACCATGAAAATAAAACAAAAAATGTATTTTTTATGTTTCTTTTGAGAATAAGCCAAAGGCAAAAAGACGTATTGAGATTTTTTTTCTAGGAAAACAAAAAAAGAAAAGAGACCGATAAAAATCCAGGTAACTTATAATTATTATACAAAGCGTTTATAGTTGTTACGAGCGAAATAAAATATCCGCTTTTGTAAAAAAACAAAAAGTAATCTACATATTTCATATATTTATATATATGAAGATCTACCTACTCGGAAATATTACAAGGAACGAGAAAAAAAGAGTTTTATATTCTCTTATAACTCCACTAATAGTTAAGTATTATAAATAATGAAAAAAGAGAAGAATATTAATACAATTTATCTGATGAAATAAAAGTTTATTTTGTCATATAACTTTGCTTATTAATATGTCGCATTGCTTTAATGAATAATCAAGTGATAATAATAAACGCGTCCATCCGACAAACACAATCAATACAAGCGGGAAAAAAAACACAATTGCACTTATTAATCTTAATTGCGGAAAAAAACAGCTCTTTTATTACCGATTTCTTGAGAGTAGACATGCAATCTTTTTTATGCAGAGTTAATTATATTAACAAGATTTATCTCATTTTAAATATTAATATTTGTTTTTAATATCTTAATGTAGACAATGAAGATTCATTGACCTGGTATTGGTCAATTATGATCTTTTTTTTTTTTTTGAAAGAATATTATTGATATCAATATAACAAAGCTTATCCTTAAAATGAACAACTAAGAAAAATAACATCATATGTAGACAGGTTTTCGTCTTTAGTTTTAATTTCAAGGATGAATAGCAATTCTAATGGAAAGATAGTATTATTAAATCACGTACATTGCAAAAACAAAGAACTCATATCCAAGAATAGCCCGATCGAGGGATGTGTTGAAGGCGTGACATCCTTAAAATGAAGAAAACTTGTTGTTTGTGCTTAGTGGAGTGGACATTTTTATTTTTGTGAGTTCCCTATTATACAAAAGAATCTTTACTCCCATCTAAAGTCGGTTGCTTCAGATCAGTTCTACTCATTTTTAAACCTATCATCGACACTAATCTGATTTATTTTATATACGTATTAATATACTTTACTGAGGACTGTTTGACAGACACAGTAGTAACGTAGAAGACTCGTAATTATATATGAAGATAAGAATTAATGATTAAGATGTTGTACAGCTATTCTAGTATTAGAAAAAAAAAGAAACTTTCAGTGTAGAAAGAAAAAATCTTTTTTGTGGTGTTTTATTAATATGACAATAAATGGAAATACGAAAAAGATAATTATCTAGAAAAAAAACCTCATTAAACCATTCGGAAATGAGTTCACATATCAAAATCATGTTAACATGTTCTCATATATGAATCGTATGCCTAAGCAATGCAATAACATTTCCGTTTTATAAATATATACTTGCGTTAATAGTAGTTACTGGATTCCACTTATGAATATAGTGTGTCAGGCGTAGAATAAGACGCCTTTGATCTATTGACAAGGTAAAATATTGCTTATACATTTTAATAAAAAGTAGATGATTTGATGTCAAAGTGTTCGCATGATAGTCAAATATAATTGATAAAATCACCATGATTTTTTTTTCTATTAATTCTTATGTATTGTAATGATGAAAATATTTGTTAATAAGCTCTGTTACTCTATGATTTATATACTTGTTATCAGTAATACTAACAAACTCAGTGTATTCTTTCATATGAATAAACAAATATTTATTCGCTTCGAAGATTAATTTGTAGTTGTTCTGAATTCATTAAATGTTTTATTTGGTTTCTCTGTCATGTTTTTGTTATGCAAAACATAAAATTCTAATATAGATTTTCTTCTCACCTATGAAATAATTCTCATTCGTAAGAATTATGATTATAAATGATAAGAATTCATAACTTATATGTTAGCTTTTTTGTATCAGACATAGCGAGAAAGAGAGACACACTTGCTTAAAAGCATTATTTAGAATAATATTAATATAGCTACAAAAAGAAAGTTGCTATTTGTGTATCACTGTAGAGAAATAAAAGTCAAATATGTAATTTAGTTTCTTGTTGATAATATTCTGTCGACTTGATGATAGAGAGCTTAAATGACAAGATAGACAAAACTGTATTTCATCAACATATTATTTCATACTGACATGCCATTGTATTTGTTTCATGCAAAAAAAGATGAAGATTTGATATAATAAGCCGATAAACATAACATGATAGGCTTGTGTTCGAAGATTGGCTTGTTAAATCCATTGTGAATTGAAGTTTCTCTTTTTCTCCAGAAAATGTTACAGTTAATAATGGGTTGGTATGTGTTCAGCTACGACAACGAAGAAAATAATTTCCTGTTTTTCCTACACATACTTACCGTATTTATACTGAAGTCTCTATGGATTTTTCAGTACCATGTAATTTACATTATGGATCTCTTTTTTTGAATACCCATCAATAAAGAATATGTAAAACTTACAATCAAAGAAGCAATTGGAATATGTCAATATTGGTCATCGTAACTTAACCAATTGGTCATCTTGACCATTTTTAGATGAATACTTTTCGATTTATTAGAAAAGAGCCCAAAAACAAAGAAAAAAGAAGGAAAAATATTTTTGATAAGATCGGTATTTAACACATATTCATATCTATCATATGCGCTCAAGTAATATATCGCCTCTATTATATATTAATGTGTTTGTATTTTTTTCTTTATCCATCCGTCTGTCAATAAAGGTTGAGTAAAAATATTAATATGGTGTTAAATGACAAAAAACATCATACGTCGCAGCATTCTGACAGACTAAATGGGAGATACCCTTTTTTTCTGTACAACTCTTTCATTGGGTTCCTGACAGACTCTGCAATCCATGTAATATTCAATTGATTAAGATTCAGTCAACTAAGACCAATCTTCACACATATCAGTAAAGAATAGAAATACGATAGCTGTCATTTACCTCGATGACAATGTGTGAATATTTAACGGTATGTTCTGATATTTATTCCTTTATTTAGAACCTTGATTATGTACAGACATTACACTATATTAAAACATATCCAGTAATATATATATCGGGTGTAGCATGAAGAATAATATCATCAGTATTTTATTAATATTTCGGTCAGATTTCATCAAAGAAAATTGAGCTTAGTCTAAAAAGATTCCCCGCTCTATATTCTACAAAATCATACGAAAAAAGAATGCGCCACATTTAATCATGAAATTGTAGACAATCAACACTACATTGCAGCCAAAGGCACTATTTCCCAATGCATGCTTTGAGAAGATTAATTATCTTTCTTCTTCTGAAAAATAAGACCCGAAGCGCCTGCAATTTGATTTCTTCCATGTTCTCCGATGTTATCTTTCTCATATAACGCAAAATAATTCGTTAAGATAAGATAGCTAGATTCTAGGGATATACTCCATTGAGAATCAAATATGAACTATGCATCATTTTCTTCTGACATGACAGGCATTAAAAAGAGGCGATCAGTACATTGTTTGTCTCGGATAAGAACGATTGAGAAAAAAATCACTTCGCTCTGGCAAAAAATTCCAACGAAATGTTATATTTTAGTATAGCTGTATATTTTCACGATGAATCTCATTATCAGATCATACGAAATTGAAAATGAGAGAAAAGTGAAAAGGTTCGGATCTCGAACGTTTGCTATGAAAAACTTTTCAACTTTTTCTTATTTGATACAGCATTGCAAGCGCTACAAAATGAATTATTTAGACTTCTTCCGTTCAACTGATTAGTATCGAAAAAAACAAAATTCAATAGAAAGTGGCGCCTCTTCGAGC